GTTCTGCTGCCAGCCCCTGCCAGGAGGACAGAGGTGCCCGGAGGACTGTTGAGGTCCAGATGTGCAGCCCTGCGAGCAGTTCCAGCTGTGCAGCCCTGTGGGCTACTGCTCTGCTGCCGGTGGTTGCCCAGGTGGGGAAGGGGGACCCTCCCAAGGGCTTCTGCTTCCAGCCCACTCAGGTCAAGGGAGAGAGCTGTGCCCGTTATCACTCCCTTCTCCTGGCTCCACTGCTTCACAGCTGAACAACATTTCCATTCCAGGCCTTAGCCCCCGGGGGCAAGCGGAGGTGTCACCCTGAATTAGCCAGAGCTGATGCTGGGTTGCCCTTTGTGTTGGGTGCCTGGGTAGCTGCCAGGCTACGGGCAGGAGGGAAAACAGCAGCCGGCAAGACAGAACAAACTTTGTTTTACCCCTTGTAGCGTTGGTGGGAATCATCCTCTGCACCCATGGAAAACCTCTTCCGTGCCACGGCTGGAGGTGTCTGGGATTTCTGCTTTATCTTCCAGCTTGGATAAACTGTGGCACTGTGAAATCAGCAGTTGGCATTTGGAGTGAGTGGTTTAGTTTGATTTTTTTATGCTTGAGGTCAAAGCCCTGGGTGGTTGTCTCTGGATATTCAGCTCTTCTTTGCTGTTTGAGTAGAAGCTGTGGTAGGAAAGGTAGCTGTGCAACCTGATGTTCCTCCTCTCTCCCACGGCCAGAGCAGAGCAGCTCAGTGATGGCCAGGCATGTGGCATCTGCTGATGCTCCTGACTTTTAGAAGGTGGAGAAGAGTAAAAAGGAAAGCAATAAGAGTTTTTATTGTGTTGCTCTTTGAATTTGTAAATCCCCTAAGAATTGGAGTTGTAAGGAGTAGCCCTTAAAGCTCACGCGTTAATTCTTTACACTTATTTACAGGTAATTTCTACTTTAGCCTTCTGTTGTCGCCTGCCTGGGACACGAGGTAGTGGCGTACGGAGGTGTCTGGTGTGGGTGAGCTGCCGCGGATCCACCTGGGCAGTTACGCTCTCTGTGGGAACGGCATTCCCTCCTCCAACACAGCAATAAATGTTTCCAGTTGCCTAATTATATTTTATGAGAAAATGAGCTAATTAAGAAATGTGCTAGCCTGAGTGATCTTCCTGGTAGCGCTGCAAGACTTTGTGCCGGGATGACTCAGCCACCGCGAGGGTTTGGCCGGCAGCATCCGTACTGTGCGGGCAGGGCTGCTCTTACTGAGCTAAACTGCGAGAGCCTCAAGACCTTGAACTTCAGTGTTTTAAAATAAATGTGTTTTTAAACGAAATATTGTTGTACGTTATCTGTAAGCTTTGTAAAGTACAACCGCTTTTTGTCTCTTCCACTGCGAGCCCATCCACACCCTCCAGGCTCCGTAATTGGCTTTATTATTCCTCTGTGCTAACCTTAATTGGTTCCAGATACTTCAAATGCGCTCGTTAAAAAAAATCTGCTTGGCTGAGGTGCCCCTGGGAGCTGGCTGGCTCCTGGGGTAGGGATGGAAAGGGGCGGCTGGGGGTGGGCTTCAGAGCGATGCAGCTGACACTGGATGTCACCATTGCACAGCACAAACCCAACCGAGGTGCTCGGGGCTTTTCTCTCCCTGTGCCATATGGGGGGGGGGAAAAAAAAAGCCTTATATTTTGTCTCCCATCTATTCCCCCCTGCCCCAGGTAGGTTGTTGGGGTTTTTTTCCCCGACAATTATGGTATCGTTGAAGCGTTGCGCTTCTTCCACCTAAGCAGGACTGGTAATCCTCCTGAACCCGATTAAAACCAGTTTTGCGCTGGCGTGGTCGTTGGGAACGCAGAGCCAAGCGTGGACTGGATTCCCTGATGGCCGTGGGGTTACCATCTATTCCCCCCTGCCCCAGGTAGGTTGTTGGGGTTTTTTTCCCCGACAATTATGGTATCGTTGAAGCGTTGCGCTTCTTCCACCTAAGCAGGACTGGTAATCCTCCTGAACCCGATTAAAACCAGTTTTGCGCTGGCGTGGTCGTTGGGAACGCAGAGCCAAGCGTGGACTGGATTCCCTGATGGCCGTGGGGTTACTGCGGGCACGATAACGGGGTTTGGTTTGTAAACTTTGCAGATGGATGGTGGAAGGTTTGGGTGGTTCTGAGTTAAAACTACATGCGTGCATGGGCTACTTGTTTTCTGCCTGGGATCTCTGGCCGTGTGTTTTCTGAAATGATGTAGGACTGGGGTGTAGGTTGCTAGTAAAAAGTCATTGAAATATTCAGTGAAAATAATATAAGAATATATCTCTTTTCCCATCTATTAAAAAAAAAAATAATTGTATGTCTGCTTTTTTTTTTTTTAAAGTGGTCCTTAATGTTTGGTGCTTTAGGCCTGCAATGCCTGCTTGGCTCCAGCATGTCCCTAAAGCTGAAATGGAATGAAATGGGATGGAATAATGGGATTATTCTCCATCCTTGCGTAATGAAACAAGCCCCTCTCTCCTCTCGCTTGGACAGAACAGGGAAACGCACGTATAGTGATGACTACCCTGCTACTCACTGAGCAAATAACTCGAGAAGACCGCGGCTCGGAGGGAAACTACGTCCTTTATGGATCCTCTCGTACCCAAATCACCGAGGAGGCGGAATACGTGAAAAAGGTATTTCTGAAGTTGTTGCTGTTCTGTTCCTTTCTTTGCTTCAGTGGGAAACACAGCGAGCAAAACTAATAACCACTGAAAGAGAAAATTCAGACCAGCGTGGCAATACGCGCTTGGAAACCCTTTTGGTTTACACGGGGATTCTGGAAATGTTCTTTACTCCGCAGTAGTGACCTAATTACAACATACGCTGTCTGAGGTTGGGTTCAACCGCTTTAAAACTGGTGAGGTTTTTCCACCCCTGTTGCAAGAGACACGTAAGCATGTGTCCCCACCCAAAGTCAGGGCTCTGCTGGGCCGTTTGCTGGGAGATGCGAGGAGGAGGAGGAGGAAGCAGGAGCCTGGCGGCGGTCAGCGGTGCAGCCGGAGGGAACGTCGGCCAGCGACGGCAGAGAGCAGCAGGGCCCTGGTGAGAAGCCTCGGCTTCGCAGCCGAAGCGAGAGGGTGTCTGGTGGTGTGACTGGGGTGGGAGGATGGAGAAGAGGATGAAGGAAGACGTGGTTGGAGCTTCCTTCCTCGCTTTGCATACAAAGACGGCGACTAAGCAGTTGGAAAGTGTAGGGTGGCTGCGTTATACCTTAAAAACAATAAGAATGATGGGAGAGGTGATGCATTAAACGAATACTTGTGTCTAAGGCTGCTGTTGAACCTGTCAACCGGTTTGAGTTTTTATTCGAAGCCGTTTGCTATATAGCATCGATGCCGAGCTGAGTTGTACGGCTGGGCTTGGTCCCTGGAAGAGATGCGGAAAGTCGGGAGCAGCCTTGTCTGAAGCAGAAGGATTGGTCTGGGGTACCTGGAGGACCAGGATCTTGGGAGGTGGGGGATGACCCGTGGGACAGGCAGACCCCGGAGGTGTCGGTCAGCAAAACCGAGAGGATATTGGGGAGCAGAACGTACCGCGGGTTTGAGATGTGAGAAATGGTCTGGGGTTGTTCCTTTCCTGAGTGCCAGAGGAAATGCAGGAAGAACGGAGTTTAACGAGTGCTTTTAATGAACTCTTGTGTGTAGTGACACAAGAGAAGACCTCAAACTTTTGATTTAAGTTAAAAGAAATAAGATTTCTTCCTTCCCTCCATAATTACCTTTATGGAGTTGCACAATAAATGCTGTAACTTTGAATCTGAATATTTCGTGATTAATTCTTAAGCATCTCGTAACATAAAATCATGTACATGAAGCAATTACTGAAGAAAAGATATATTCTGTGGCGGTGACACCAGCTCAGGAAGGGCATATGAAGCAGTGCCCTGCTTGATGCTGACACCACTGTGAATGGGTAGGACATGAAATTTTATTTTTTTTTTTCCCCATAAGAGATCTTGTGAGCAACGAGACTCAGCTGAGTAGGTCTGATACTACTTCACTCTCAGTGGCAGAGAACGGTGATGATGATGATGATAATAGGCAAAGGCAGTTTTTGTACAGCCCAGCTGGGCCCAGGAGAGCACTGTGGAATGAGGGAGAGGAAGGACCAGTGGGCTGAAACACAGCTAATTAAGAAATAATTGATCACAAAAAGTTCTTTTTAAAAAATGCTTACTCCTTTCTCTGTTCAGTCGAGGAACGAGGTTGAAAAAAAAGCCTCTGCAGTGAAAGGGAAGTGATTTATGGTTTGAAGGTTTTAAAAAGTACAGGCTGCCCTTTGTGGTAGTTTATTTTTAACAGATGAACTTGGTGTAATGTAAGAAAGGCCGAACAAACACCAGTGTGTTCTGGCATACATCTGACGGGTTGCAGGTCGTGTTCCTCGCCCATATCGGCTCTCAAAAGCGACGGGAGGCAAGTGGTGAGCATGCATTCACGAACACCTCTGGGGGGAGAAAAGTAGTATAAGCAAGTTAAAACCACTTTAAGCAAGTGGGTTTGGGCAAAGAGGCGGCCTCTAGGAAGCAAACAGATTTGGAAATGTTGTGTCCGAACAGTTAAAACATGCTGGAGTAAGAAGTAGTTCTTCTAATGGGAAGTGTTGGGCAACGATCGCTCGTGTGCATTGATGCACCCTCACCTACAGCGCAACATCTGCCGCAATATTCCGAAAGCTAATTCATCTTACACCTGTGCAGTAACACTGTAGACAGTGGAGGCGAGCTATTTATCAGAATCGACATGGAGATGCTTTCCAGTGTAAAGCCCCGGAGAGCCGACCATTTTAATTTCAGCTAATGTGTGGAGGTGGAGGAGCTGTGCTGGCTGCTGCCCCGGGAGCAGCTGGGACCCCGCTCCTGGGGACCTGCCTGGGGTCTGCCCCGTCCTCCCTGCGCGAGCCAGAGACGGGCGTTTGTAAGAAGCCACGTCTCTTAGAGTCCCATTGATTGCTCAAGCTGGTTTTCTGTTATTTTAAAAATAATTTCCATGTGCATTTCCTTGACAGCTTCCTCTAGTCTCGGGCGATAAACCGGAGTCGAAGAGCAGCGGCTGGAGCTGCAGCCCTGTTGCGAGGATGATGAAGGAAACAGAAGAGCAGCTGCTGCTGGTGAGCAGGGAGAACCAAGTGCTGAAGATCAAGGTGTGTTGGGGTTGGTTTTTAAGGTTTCGGATGAACGTGTGTGCCTCGCCGCCCCGTTAGAGCTGGGTCAGAGCCCGGTGCCTGCGCAGCGATCCCGTGCCGGAGCCTTTCCTCCGGGGAAGGGGCAGACTCCGCTTCGCTTTCCCGGCTGCTGCAAACTTTCATTCCAGCAGGGAATGAAATTCGTATAAAAATCTGCTTCTGGGGACACATCCCATTTGCAGCTAGGGAGACGGGACAGGCAGCTCTGTTGGTAGTTGACAGCAGATGCATTTACAAGCAGTTGGAAGCACATCTCTCCTTGTAAGCCATTGTCTTTGGTTGTTAAGAGGGGATGGCTCAGTACTGAATAAATCTGCCTTTATTTCGAAAATAAAATGCCTGTCGGATATTGCGCACAGGTGTTTAGGATTCCTCTCTTTGTGTTGTTTTTTTTTTTGACAAGAGTAAATTCTGAAATTTGATCTTGTATTGAGGGCTTGTTTTTTCAGCATGTGATGATAACAACATTGCCTTTTTTAAAAGCACAATATATCCATTACTCTTCCTAGCTGGAAGCGACCAGAGAAGCAGGCGTACAGGCTCTCAGATCTGCCTCCCAGAAACTGTACGAGAATTACCAGGCTCAGTCAGAAGAACTGAAAAAACGCCTTGAGAATGAGAAGCAGCAAATCCAGGTACAAATCTCCCCCGCGTGTGGGCGCGACCGTCCCGTTCAGCATCAAAATATTTAGGTGGGCTCTGGCTCTCTGTGCTGCAAACCTCGACCCAGGAGCTACCGAGTCTCTTCTGCTAGTGCAGTGGGGAAGCTCAATAGGAAAATTTAAAAAGAAAAATTATTTCCGTTTTATTCCTGAGTCTTGGAATCGGGTTGGGAGATTTGGCTCAAAATTCCTCAAGCGCAGTGGGGAAGCTCAATAGGAATATTAAAAAGAAAGATGATTTCCATTTTATTCCTGATTCTTGGAATCGAGTTGGGAGATTTGGCTCAAAATTCCTCAAGCCCCATCTCTGTCCATCTGTTGCATTCACCAGCTCCCAGCCCGCACCCATTAATGCCCTTCTTGGTCCCAGGCCTACAATCTCCAACAAGAAGAAAAGCTCCAGCAAAGCTCAGAAAACGCCAGCCGCCTCGCTGAAAGCATCGAGGAAAAATGCACCCGCGTGGCAGAGATGGAGGCGCGCGTGCAAAGGATGGAGGAGGTATGTCCGCCCGCTCCTCGACTCCCTCCGGCCCGGCTTGGAAAGAGGAGCTGATTGCCTTCAGGGTTTGGAACGTTAGCTGGTGGAATTGGGACTCAAAAGTTATTTCTGCCACGTTACGCCAAATGAAGAACCTTTAGCTGTACCTATAAATAAAACGTGCAGTTTGAGCTCCCTCTTTCAGTTATTTTAGCAGTTGCTTAAAAACTGTAGAGCATCAGGGAGAAGTCTTAATTTGTAGCTATTAACAATTTCTGCTCCTGAATAGTTGCTCTTTCACCTCCCCCTGTTGGCGTACTTCTGGCTTTTGGAATAACGTAGCCATCCTAGCACTAAAAACTGCTCCTTCTTAACTCAGAAAAATGCCGCTGTAAGTATCCGAAACCCCGGGCGGGCGCACGACGGTGGTAGCAACCTGACGACCGCGTGCACAGAAACTTGCAGAAAATTTGTTCTCCTTTATTGTGAGTTTTCTTTGGTGTCAGTTGCGTTGGAAGAAGCGACGGCACCGCGCAGTGTTTTTCTGATGTACGCCCTCAGCAGTGGTGGGAATTGCTCCTATAGAAGTGCCAGGCGAAAACTAAGATTTTTCCTGTCCTGGGATCACTGTAAATCCAGGGTCAATGAATGTATTTCTGTTCCCATCGCGTGCAGGTATTCTTTCTGATGCTGAGTTTGCTGTCAGTTTTGTTAAGATTTTTCCCTGTGCGGACAAGATTTTGAGGCGGACGTAGCAGTAACGCAGTATCCCCTGGCCGCTGAGCATGGGCTCTCAAGAGACCTAAGGATTTTGCTAATTAAGTAAAGGAGAGAACTGCTATTTTAGGAGAGTTTGGACTTTTCTCATGGTAAATCCGTACAGTCATCCCTTCCGGACTTGATTCGGAGGGGTCAGGCTGTTGAAGTAGGCTGATGTAGGTGGTTATTGGTGAATTCTGCCAGTTTTCAGACGCTGAGCGGACCCGTTGAACCTACAGCCAAACTTCTCTTGCTGATTCAATGGCAGGAAGCGTAATACAGTTTCTATATAACTTGAATTGTTTCCTTAGGAAAAGAAAACTCTGATAGAGAAGAAAAGGTCATTTGAAAAGATGCTTCAACAGATGATGTCAAGGAATGAAGACAGCAAACGGTGATTAAACGCATGTGATAAAGTGTTTTTGTTTCTTTCTGGGGGATTATTTCACGTAGAGTACCAGACAATCACTTGTTCAAGTTCCTTCTGGTAGCAAAATTATTCACAATGAAAGCAATTGGCTCCAATACTCATTTACCGTGATTGCTTGAAGAAGCCGAGACAATTGTTGATGTCCTACAGCTCTTAGATGTTGATTCTACTCAAATTCCTAGTACTTTTCCTTCCACCGTGCATGCACAAATTGCTTTTCTTTCCTCATTCTCACGTGGAGCCGACGCTGCTTTGGTGATGCTGCGCATGCGGTAGGTAAGGCAATGGCCTTCATCATTTACGAGTTTACTGATCAACAGCTTGTAAGGGTGGTCCTACCAGGCAAAATATGTCTCATACTATGGTTTTATTTCTTTTGCTCAATAAAGAAACCTTTATGTGTATAGTTCTGGATGAATTACAGCCAGGCATCCTTAGGAACATCCTTCCCAGCAACAAGCTCTGGAGCTGACTCTGAGGTGGGAAAGCGGCTGAGTGATCCCTGGGGACTGAGCACGGGATGCTCTGCTCTCGCCCGCAGGTGCCTGGATCTCCAGAGCCAGATTTCCACGCTGCAGGAGCAGATCCACCACCTGCAGCGCGTGATCCAGGCGCAGCACCACAGCCTGCGCAGCGTGATACAGGAGGTCAGGCTGGTGTGGGCCGTCCCACCGGGCAGGTCTTCGGTGGTCGGGAAAAGAAATGGGAGACACTGGGATGTGGGCTCTTGCCTTAAGTATATGTGCTGGGGGTGAGCAGCTCGCTCGTCACGCTGTGCTGGGTTTTGTGCACCCCGCGTTCAGACATCCATATGCATTTCAACATTAAGATGGAAACGGTATCGCTAAAAATGGGGTTATTGTGGTGGAGACGGTGATTTCAGGCAGACCCCTAAGTTCTCCTAGAGGGTTCCTGGGGGGAACCTGTCTGACCCGGGGATGCTCCGCCGGAGGTACCTGCCCTGCGGCTGGTTTGACGTGAAGTTGGTGAAGCTGCTCCCACCAGCAAAGCCAACAGGCTGACATCCTAGAAAGGCTGCAACAAAATTCAAAGCCATCAGCCTGCTTCCCAAAGTCACGACATAACGTCAGCTGTTTTACTTACCGATTGCTTTTGTACGTACGACCTCCCGCTGCGCTCTCCTTGCCTCGCGCAACACGGGCTTGCCTCTTCCCATCCAGCTAAGGCAAGAACCCCGCACCACCTACCTTCCGTAATCATGTTTCTGTACATATGCCAACGACAGAGAGACTTCTTATCCTCAGGAAAACGCAACACCGTGTGTTGAGAAACTGTTTTATAAATCAGTCAATCAATTAGTTTTTCTATGGTAGAAGACTAGGGACTTAAATGGTCTGCGAATCCCCTGGCATGGTGAGATGTTTAACTCTTTTGTTTGATACAGAGATGTGTTTGATATATTGAGGTTTCAAATCTCTTTTACAAGCTTTATTTCCTAACTCTCAGGCACAGGAACTGAACAACCAACTCAGAAGCCAAGATAAAAAAATAGAAAACCTGACAGAAAAGCTGAGTTCACTGGAAGCGCAGGTAAGGTCAGAAAATAAAAAGATGTATTGAAGGGAGAGAGCAAAATTAGTTCTCTACAATCAGGAGGCGCTCCGCACTGCTGGGCTTGTGTCAGTACGATACTGTCGGGGTAGTATTTCTTTGCATTGCATTTTTCACTCAGTTTAAAAAAAACAAAACACAACAAACACACAAAATCCCCCAAGCCCCCCAAAACCTTTCTGGAGGAGCAGCAGGTCCTAGTTGGTATCCAGGCTTACTGTCGGAGTAGTATTTCTTTGCACTGCATTTTTCACTCAGTTTAAAAAAACAAAACACAACAAACACACAAAATCCCCCAAGCCCCCCAAAACCTTTCTGGAGGAGCAGCAGGTCCTAGTTGGTATCCAGGCTTGTCTCTTGCCTGCTACCTTATGTTGAGAGGGCTTTATTTTATTTTATTTTTTTCTCCTTGCAGAACAAAGAACTGAAAGACAGAGTGGAGTTCTGGTCTGGCCAGCCCAAGAGTAAAGTTTCAAAAGCTGTCTGGACCGAGTAAGTACCTCGGGAGGTACCGCGGGGCACGGCAACGGCTGAGCCCGTGGCTCTTGCTGGCCACCTCCCGTGTCCCCGCAGGGCTTTGAGCGGGCTGAGTCGGGCCTTGCTGGGAGCAACCAAACTTCATCCTGCGGAGATTATCTTCTCTATAAAGGAGAGGAAAAGCACAAACTCTGCTACAAACTTAGCAGTTGATGGTGTGACAGCTGTACCCCGAGTCCTGATGCCCACGCAGCCCTCCAGCTCAGATGGGGCGTGCTCAGGACATCAACCGAGGGCATCTGCAGAAGCTTGTACATCTGTTCAAGATTAAATGGGAGCCTTTTCTGGGGGATACAATCCTTTGCTGAGGCAGATCTGGATGCAAGTTTGTGCTCTCAGTTCCTTCATATCCACAGCCATAGTTATTTATAAACCTCTGACTTATTTCACATATGGTCGTGGTGGGTTTAAGCCTGGCTTGGGCAGGTGAGGGTGTCTGAGTGACGTCTACTTTGTTGTCCTTCACTCCGCAGCCCACCGCGAGACTTTGGAGCTTTTAGACCATCCCCTTACCTGATGCTCACCAGGCTAAGGAAGCAGGAGAACTAACGGAACGATGGGATGTTTGTCTCCTACCTTTGTCAGAAGGACTTCTTCTGTGTGTTGCAACCGGTAACTCCTATGGCCTCTCTGTTACTGCAAAGCACCTCCAGCACGGGCTGCCTCTCTATGAAAGGTGGTGCAGGGCTGCCTTTGAAAGAACAGACCTGGAAACAAGGCAAGAACCGATGAGAGAGGCAGTGATCTCATGAATGCCTGCACATCCTGACGGCAAAGGCAGCCCTGGCCATACCTGGGGGATGCTGCGCGGCCGGACCAGCTCGGCATCTGCCCTGGTGTGGGCAGCAGCAGGTCCCTGCCAGCACAAAAGGGCTCCCACCTACCCAGCCTGCAGCAGAGACTCAGTTTAGCTGTGACTCACATTTAGGTAAGATTATAAAATAAACCTTCGGCTACCTGGAATGTTGCTACCCTTTTCCAACCCGCTGTGGTACGATGGATGGAGCATGGGGTGGACGTGGAGCGGTGGCTCTGCCCTTGCAGGGGTGCTCAGCATGTTCTGGGTGTTAGCAGCAGCATAACGTCACGGTGCCCTCGGGCAAGGAGCAAGCAAATCCCTTTCCAGGTTAAATGGTGAAACCTTTCCATGGCAAATGGTGAAGTGCTCTGCCTGCGTCAGCAGGAGCGTGAAGTTCCTCCTTGAGCCTCTCCGCCGGCTGAAATCCCTTTTGGAGGGGAAAGCAGCTGCTGCAGGGAGGAGGGCTGGTTTTTCTCCTCCGCAGTGGTCGGCAATCCCCTATTTGAGAGATGTGGCACACCTCAGAAGGTAAATGTTGTCCCCCAGGGGAGTGACACTGGCTTTGCACACTCATGTTTACCTCTGCGCTGTGGGACAGAGGGAACCCAAGAACGGCCGTGTGCCCGGTTTGGCTTCTAATCCCCGATGTGCAGACAGAGCAGCATTTCAGAAAAAAGAAGAAAAAGAAGAAAGGTGTTGATCCTTAAATAAGGCTTAAAGGTACTAAGCTTCAGTTTGCTCCTTTTTTTCCCTAGCTTTAGATGCATTATTCGTACATGGTGTCACTCCAGGATTAACTTGGTTAAGGTGCAAATAAATAAAAGCTTGGCACCTCCCTAATACTGGGGTGAGGCAGACTGCGTGTGTTTCGGTACACAACCTTCTGGGTTATACTGACTTAGTCACTGTTTAAAGTGTGAGCTTTGTAAATCGTACCGTTTCCCTGGCAGGTGAGGGTAAGGAACTGCTGTTCAGCCCTTTCCCATCCCTCTCGGTCAGGAGAAACTGAGCTCACCTTGAAGGCAGGGTGCCAATGCTGAGCTGCCACGGGGCAGGCTGGGTGCTGACCCACGGCGAGGTTTGTAAACGCACCCCGAGCAACCCTCAGCCCACCTGAAAAGCCCTGCCTCTCTTT